GAGAAAAACGGAATCTATATTCAGTGGATTGAGGGCTGGATGTGTAATAGCTGTCTGTTCAAAAGGAAGGGCATTAAAATGTTTTGTAAAAACAGAATAACAGAGTCGGAAGGGAACTTGGAAGTCTTCTAATCCAACTCCTGCTCAAGCAGGAGCCCTATACCGTTTTAGACAAATGGTTGTCCAATCTCTTCTTAAAAACCTCCCATGATGGAGCACCCACAGCTTCTGAAGAAAAGCCATTCCAGTAATTGATTGTTCTCACTGTTAGGAAATCTCTGCTTATTCCTAGGGTTGGCTCCCTTCTTGATTAGTTTCCATCCATTGCTTCTTGTCCTGCCTTTGGAGAATAGGTTGACCCCCCTCTTCCTTTTCTGTTGCATGTGCATAATTTGTACAGTGAAGACCGAGTGGAAATAAAGCCGCATAGGGATTTTTAACAAAATTGTCTGTTCTAGATGACAGTGCTGCTTTGGATGGTATCATTTGTATTTTTATTATGCTTCAAGTTAAATGTATAGTCTTAAAATGGGGTAATGCCACGATCTTCTTAGATTGAATCAAGCCCCCAGCCATCTTCTATAATATACAGAAGGATACATATAGTTTATGAACATCTGAAGCCGCTGTTTTTTCTTTCAATCACTTCCTGTTCTCTAATAGAGCTAATTTGAAACAATAGGTTCAAGTCTACTATCTTGCTGCTATTCTCAACTAAACACTGTAGTATGTTATGGGACATCATATTCTATTCTACCCTGGGTAAAGAAGGAATGTCTCCTCCATGGTTTTCCTTTAATTCTGCCACTTACAACTTTGAATAGGAATAAACACAATGGATTATGACTGAAAATAGCAGATCCCTGTCATAACCTGAAGACTTGGTTAAGAGGACCTCACCACAAGGGTGTAAAATAGCAAGACTAGCATATAGAACAGGTGAAGGCTTGGGAATTACTACTAGTTGCATTTCTCAGCACTTGGGGTGAGAGAGTGCTGTCCTGTATCAGCAGAAAACAGTCCCTCCTTGTATGCTATCCTTTAAGATGGTGAGTATTTTCTCTCAGCCTAAAAGGAAAGTGGGACTCTAGCAGCAGTAGGCAGGAAGGAATAGAAAAAAATAGAAAATCTGTAGTGTTAAACAGGAAGCATCCATATAAGTAGCTCAAGCTGTTGCCAGGTTTCCTATGGAATATAATTATTTACATATTATATTTTCAAGATGGGCACTTTATATTTTTCTATTTAAAGCATATACCTAAATATGCCAAAAAACAGATATGACGAGCAGGTATTTGAAAATGCACGCCTCTTCTTGTGTACATATAAGAGCAAACACAGATTTGTTGTTAAGCAATGTATAAACTGAAAATGCCAGGCTGCCACTTGGAAACTCATAGTGTCAGTGGTGTGAGAAATTAGAAAACTGAGACTTTTTTCCCATTGGTTTTCCCTGTGCTCAGCTTGGTAGCACATCTGGCAGAAAAGAATAGAATATGAAAGGCTGGGAGAAGGGAACTCTTTGCATTCCTTGTATGTGGCTTTGCTTCCTCTTGCACAGGCAAGTTGAAAGACATTAGGGGAAATCTTTTCCAGTTGCAAAACCTTTCTCAAAAGAGAAACAATTTGTCTTGAAGAGAGACAATCGGTAAAAGTCTTCCTATCTTCTTCCATGGGACTACATCCAGATTGTGATGCTGAAGGAGAGAACATTCTGCTTTTTGGATTCAGGGGCTTCATGTAGGAAACAAGCAAACTGTGTCCAGCTATTCTCTTAACATCTGTCCTTCATGATTGCAACTGCAATTGCAGTATATATTTTCAACAAAATTATTTTTAGATCAGCACTATTTTCACTAAGCATAGAGGTAGGTTCCCCCTGCCCCCCCCCCCATTTTCCAGAATAGCTAGGAATTTTAACTCGGCTGAGTTTTTGCACAAAACATCTGGAGAATCCAATAAGTATTTGGAAATCAGACTGACAATCATTCAGCTTGAAAGTGGGGGTTATGCATTTCTCCATAAAAAACTGAAATCAAAATAAAGCAAGTTCACACACATAGAAGATTAAGGTTATCAAGGAAAATATAGGGTTGGACTTTATTTCATAACATCCAAGCTGTTAAGCAATGTGGAATAAATGTTTACATAGAAAATGGGGAAGTCTTGGAGTTAGACCTCAGGCCTCGTCTCAGTTTTTCTCCAATTGGAAAGAGAAGTTATCAATAGCTCTGGACACCAATGTATCCCATTCGAGAAATGCAAAGCTATTCTTCCTGCCTAGGAGACACCCTTCTCCCCCTTTACTTTAAGTATTCAAAACAAAAGTTCATCACACGTTTGTATTTGTAGCCAGATACACGGCATTCTAAACCAAGATGGATAAGTAGTTCTACTCCAAAAGACTTTTAAATCAGTCCTGTTTCAAACATAGCACAATACCAAATCTTTCTAATAAAATATGGAGTGGTTTGAGCCAAAATGTTACCAATATCCCTTGTCCATTCCATATAATAAGGCTTTAATAGCAAATTTTAAAAGGCTAATAAATGCCATACTACATATACTGTATGCAACCTTTTGTAGTTATCTCTCACCAATCAATAAACATGTCGATGGATCATGTCATTTCATTTTGCCTTGCAGCATCTATATAGCATCTTTGCAACAGTCACAATTGCTATGCACAAAACAAAATTTGAGATTAGATTATTAGACCACTTTCCACTGGGAAAATAATAAATAAGCCAACAAAATCCTGAGCATTGCAACAACCATGCCAAAATTGCTTAAAAAAATCTCTTCTTTAACTTAAGACCTAAATAAAAAGTTTTGAAGGTCAGTATACCTTTCATCCTTGGCTATAGCAGAATTTCTACTAGGCTCTAAATCTTAATGCACAAGGACTCTCCATACTATTTTTCAGAACCAAGCCAGCTTCTCCCAACTACTCAAAATACATCTCTTCTGGAAGTCACAGCCAGCAATGTCTGGCAATATGTTGCCAATAGCCTGAAATTGCTCAAGGAAGGACTATCTATCCATTAATCAATGCAACAAAAATGATTTAATCTACAGTGAAAGCTTTTGGAAACGAATTCTCCTTCCTTTTGGCCACACTAGAGTTTTGCATTTGACAGGAGAAAGGCAAAAAGCCCTGTGAAACAAAACAAAATAAAAAAAATTCCCAGATTAAAAAAGAGATGTTTGGCTTCCTCCCACCCCCACCCTTCCCGACAGACACACAAAAGTACATCTCCACTGATTCAGAATCAAGTTTAACGAGCAGGACAATCTCCCTGCATTCCTTTCCCCTTTTCCTTCCTTCTACAAGTTTTATCAATCTAAGCCATCCCATTTTCTTTTCTTTAGGCCAACATTAAGCTATTAAATGCACCATTTCACCCTTCTTCTCTCTGACTAAATGTCAGCCTTCAAACTCGGGGTGACAGTTGTTTCTCTACTGCAGTTCCCTCCTCCCCTACCAGCTATGGTCCCTGCCTTGGCACTTGTTGGCTAAAAACACAATGCTAAATATTCATCACTGCCACCTCACTGCACTTCTAATTCACTCTGATTTGGAGGTTAAGCCTCTCTGTGGTGGCCATTTATTCTCCCCCCCTCTTATATCTTAAAGCTTCACTGCTCCTTACTTGGTGTTGCAGACAGAGAGGAGTTCATTTGTATCTTTCTGATCTCTATTATTAGATGGTCAGATTCCTAATGCAGCTAGATGTAACATCTGTACTAGTAGCCCTGCAATGCAGCTCTAGCACACTTATAATTCAGGTCTGGGCAACTTTAAAATGACCATCTTTAATTTTATCCATGTTTACTAGTGGCTAGTGTAGGATTACCATATCCAGGCTGTAAAAATCTATACGGCTACTAGTTGGGAGCAAAGAGATACATTTTTTTTTAACTCTGCTGTCCTTTAATGGTCATCTGGATTTCTGCAGCCATCAGCTACCAGCTTCCCTCCCCCTTTAATTTTTTTTTTTTAAGCGTGAAAAATCTACTCAAAACCTTTTTTTTTTTCACTTACTGGCAGGAAACTGAGCTCCTGCAACTTGACGGTTTGCTACCAAATGTTGTTGGTAGAGTCCCTGGGTTTTGGAAGATTTCAGAGCGACATGTAGCCTTGAGCTACCCATAACTACAGTATTAGATATTCTTTTCAAAGCAGTATTCCTAGAAGATTTTCAATTAAGCTACCCAACATAGTTAAACAGGTTTTGTTGTCATCACTTCTGAACCATAGATAGAAGACAGAAAATATGCCTCAACTCCCATTCCTCTTAACAAAGATACCTATGTGACCATCTTCCAAATAACCAGTGCAAGATCTGCACCCTGTACAGGCTGTTACCTTTTAGGTGTATGAAAGAGAGAAATTCAGTGGAAGAAGCATTTGCTACCCTAATGAGCTGAACTTTGGCAAAATTGTTAAAGAGGGCGAGAGCTCTATTTTTACAAAAAGGTAAAGCAGTAAGTTGCAAAGCGCGGGTTGAATTTCGGAGGATCTTGTCCAAGTAAAAGCATGCTTGCTCTTTCCCCCCAAAGAGATATTCCAGCTGACATGAGGTGAGGATGACATACAGACAGGAGGACACACACCCATTATTTTTATTTATTGAATTTACAAACTACCCATCTCACTCGGAAAATGATTCATTAGGGTGCTAATACATACTAGCCAGCAGATCTGTAAAACTTTAAAAACATTCTGCAAGCATTCAGCTATAACTGAAACTGGCCCAAGGTAATTTTTACAATGAATTCTGCATTTTATTGGGTAAAATGTTATACTCTTTTTAAATCCTCTCACACAGAAGCTATCGTACTTAAAAACTTTTTATTTGCATAGCAACTTTGTGTTAGTTTTGTTTGGTTGCATCTCACTTTCTGCACACACATTCAATTTTAAGTATTAAAAAAAATCAGAAAATAAACCATGCAGTAAAAAAAAAAAAAGGCAAGAAGAAGAAGTGCATTTTTACCTGAAATTTCAAACGTGTGTTCTCCAGGGAAAGCTGCAATGGGTTCTGTAAATAAAAAGAAGAGCTGAAAGTGAGTTAGCAAATTATAGATCCTGAAGATAGTAACCCATATGATCACAGGGAGTATCTTGAAACCTCTAATCTTGAAGAACCTCTTTTTTCAATTTGTACAAGTGGTAGCCAATCCTTTATCCTTTTTTTTTTAGGGGGTGGGGTAGGATCTTCTGTATTCACTAAGGATAACTCTTTAAAAATGTTTTTGTGATAGCAGGCTTTCCACTAGGCCTGCTATAATAGGATGTGTTCTAGCAGTAGAAACACAATTGCAATTGTATTTTCTTTTATTTTTTGGCCCAGGTGATAGAATGCCAGGTGATAACAAAACTGATAAACTAAAGGACTGAAACAGTGTTGATTGCAAAGCACACAAAGTATCTGAGATAGTGCCTGCCTGCCTCTCTCATCCTCTTCCAACTCACAGGTTGGTTGAAGGATAAAATGGATTAACCCTATGGATACCACCATGGGCTCCTCAAGAGTTGCCACACACCAGGGGTTTCCATCTCACAACGTCACGTGACGTGTCGTGACGTATCGCAACTTTTTTTCCATTGCTGGCAATGGGGTGAGCGCAGTTTCGCCATGATGCATCTGGCCCCTGGGCCGGCAGTTTGACACCCCTGCCGTACACTAAAGATTAACATGCTATATTGATTCAGAACTTGGTCCCATTTGAGATGGTGAACATTTGTAATAACTCCTATAACACATTACATGCTAAATGCCACTGACAATGGTGTTGTGCCTTTTTTGAGGAATAACACAAGCCATAGGCAGGGAAGCAAAGGAAATCTGTCTTCCTCTCTCCATGCATCTCTTTTGTTTTGGAAACTGCAGGTACGTGGTTCCTTCAGGTTTTAAAAATGAGGGAATAAAATTACTGGAGTGGTAAGCAGGAGACATTACATATGATTAATGTTAAAGATTGAGACTAAGTTGGATGTAAGAAGGAAGGATATGATAAGAGGTTTCATATATTGGAAAGCTTCCCCCTAAAGAAAAGGAAAGAAAAAGAGAAAGAAAGAAAGAAAGAAAGAAAGAAAGAAAGAAAGAAAGAAAGAAAGAAAGAAAGAAAGAAAGAGAAGGAAGGAAGGAAGGAAAGAAGGAAGGAAGGAAGGAAGGAAGGAACGAGGGAGGGAGGGAGGGAGGGAAGGAAGGAAGGAAGGAAGGAAGGGCCACACTTTGCTCACCATGATGTAAAAAAGATGTTGAGACTTTAGAAAGAGTACAGAGAAGAGCAACAGAGATGATTAGGGGACTGGAGGCTAAAACATATAAAGAACGGTTGCTGGAATTGGGTATGTCTAGTTTAATGAAGAGAAGGATGAGGGAGGACATGATAACAGTGTTCCAATATCTCAGGGGTTGCCACAAAGAAGAGGGAGTCAAGCTATTTTCCAAAGCATCTGAAGGCAGGACAAGAAGCAACGGATGGAAACTAATCAAGGAGAGAAGCAACCTAGAACTAAGAAGAAATTTCCTGACAGTGGAACAACTTGCCTCCAGAAGTTGTGAATGCTCCTTCACTGGAAGTTTTAAAGAAAACATTGGACAACCATTTGTCTGAAATGGTATAGGGTTTCCTGCCTAAACAGGGGGCTGGACTAGAAGACCTCCAAGGCCCCTTCCAACTTCTATTCTATTCTATTCTATTCTATTCTATTCTATTCTATCCTAAAGATAGACACCTGGGAAAGAAACTTAAGATGTCATTTATAATGGGTATCAGGAAATGGTTTCTAAAGCACAATCTATTACTGGTATGTATGGCAATGTCTGTTTATGAAGGTTCAAATGGGGATCCTAATTATAACTTAGAGATGGTTAAAGATATTAAAGTTAAAGATATATGCAGTTTTTTAAAATCGCTTTAATCACTCAAGGCCACCCATCTCACTATAGTGATTCTGGGTAGCAAACAGCAAATGCAAACAATTTTCAAAACATATGCAACAATAAATACAATTGTTTGGCTCCAAATCCAGCATATATGGATTGAATTTAGCTTACAGATATAGACAGTAGGTTTGACAAGTTTAAAAGGGGAGGAGGGACTGCAGTTCCCTCCATCTAACCTTTCCTCAGCCTCATCCATTCTCTTTTTTAGTTCTCCCCTATAGGATTCCACAGTCTGAAAGAAATTCACAATACTGAAACAGAAACAGATACTTAGCAAAAATAATATGTTACTAGTCCCTGGGGAGGAGAAAGTGGGCAGAAACAACCAATGTGTTTCAGTGATTATTTTCCCGAAGAATAAAGAAAAGGGCTTTTTTATTATTATTTTTAGATTACTTTTGTATTACATTTGGAAATGGAGTCCCTTGGTTTAACTATGGTTTCAATGGAGTGCTATGAAATACTCAGCCAGTCTAAAAAAGAAAGTGACAGGTCTCTGAAAAAGAAAAACAGTAATATTGTGAGCTATTAGATTCTTTCCTCAAGTTGAAAAGGAATTTGATTACTTCTCTGGATTTACAATTTTAAAGCAGAAGCTTGTCAGTTCCTTTTTACAGTTCTGTGGGGTGTCTCTGTGTGTGATTATGCATGCACACGTATGTTTCAAATACTAAATGATTTAACAGAAACATCAGTCAAACATTTGAGCTTGGCTTTTTTTTTTTTTTTTACTAGATATTGACTTTAAAAATTATTATGAGAGGAAAAACCCTGAGACGAAGGGGAGTATTAGTTGGGACACGTTACAATTAAGAATGGTGCAAAGAAAAGGATTATACACTCATAATCTCAGACCCAAGACCCCATCTCAAACCTTCCCACTACTTTTATTCCTTTAGAAATGCTGCAATTTGTGGAACTTCTTTGAGCAGCTCCCCACATTACTCAACAAATCAAACAGCTATGGGAACAGCAGTCCAATGCTAATCTCTGGGGAGCAAGCATGTCAGTAATTCTACAGAACCAGGTTCCCAAAAGCTGGCAAGGACATGTGGTTTTCTTTTTTATTATTATTGTAAACATGGAAATTGCACCTGGCACGTAAATGCGTAGAAGATTTCTAAGTCGTTACCTGCAATGGTAACAAACATTTACTTGCATGAAATACTTAACTCCCAAGGAATACAATTGTGAGCCATTTTTGTGCCAGGATCCAACTGAAGATCTGAAAGGTTGCTTTTTTTTAGCTACATATGGAATTGATTTTCTCGTCTGGTTTACCTAGCAGGGGTGTCAAACTGCTGGCTTGCGGGCCAGTTTCATCCTACCGAAGCCGCGCCCACCCCATTGCCGGCAATGCAAAAAGAGTCGCGATACGTCGCGACGCGTCACGTGATGTGGCGAGTTTGATACCTGTGACCTAGTGGGACTGAATTAGGAAGGCATTTACTTGACCATCTCTGAATGTTATCTTCTGGACTTTTAAAATCTCTCAGCTCCTTTTGCTTAGGTAACAGGTCATTCAGCTGGCTATTACAGCCTATGCTATCAAGGACAGTGTCTTTCCCAGGACTTCAACTACAGCTACCAAATCTGGGCTGCAAACCTCCAAACAACCATTTGCCAGCAGCCAAACCCCCCCCCCCACAAAAAATGAACACTGCTGCCATCTACTGGTTGGTTGGAGTTTTGCAGCCAAGATAAGATAGCCTTTCTTCAACTGAGGATGCCAAAGAAAGGACCTGCCCCTCCTAAGGTGCTCCACTATTGTCTTACTTCAGTGGTTAATAGCACAAGTCAAAATCATACCAAAGATGGCAACATGCATGGAATGTCTTACCATAAATTCTGTTATTTGTATTTGCTGTCATTAGTACTTGGGCATTGATATCTGGTACAAATATTTGTGTGATGGCATCATTAATGCACCTGCCATTATTGCCTCCATTCAGGTGCCCATGATAGCAGAATAACGGGCATATTTTTAGGAGTTAACAATATTACAATTTTTGTGAATGTGATTTCTCATGTCACCACCCTTTTTCTGGTGATTATTTCCTATTAACAAGGATTTCTATTGATCTCCTCAGCTCTTTCTATGTATACGGTGTTGACTGATGACTAATTTTGGCTCCTGGATATTTTTCTTTGGTAACAATCTAATTATTATTATAAGCAGTCCATGCCATTGCAGAGGCATGAATTAATCTCTCAGTGTGTTGACAGGGAAACCATCCCTACCGGCTTTCCCCAGATATTCCTTCTCCCTGACTTCCTCCAGAAGGAGAGAGTAGGCTAAATGAATGGGTGAGGCTTGCTTTAATGCAACCAGGGTTCTGTCTGCTTAACAACCTTAAGATAAGATTGCCTGCAAAGATGATTGCTATGTGACCTCTTGGCCAGAACTGTAAAAGAATCATTTGCACATAACAGCTATTGAACCAAGGTGCTATTTGCTGGAGGGTAACCCATTCCTATTAATTTTGCCCCACTGCTCCTTGCTAGTCTCTTTCTGGAGTTTAGTAATATGCATATTGCCGGGGGGGGGGATACAGGCTGTCCTACATGGGGCTATCATCCCACAACCACCTTTGTGCACAACAATTGGCCTTCTGATTGTTTCTGGCCTATTCCACACTGTTGAAAAGGATCATGGGATTCTTAACATTAAAGCAAACAATAAAAAATGAAAATGAAAACTTCCTGTCATTCAGAAAATTTTAATAAAGAAAGCCTTCAGAAAGGAGTTATTCAAGCCTAGCCTTACCTCTAATACACTGATTATATGAGCAAGACATTCTGTCCATATGATAGGATGCATTCATTTTTTTTACCCATCTTACTCAGTTCAGAGTTTTTGTAAACTAGGCCTGAGCCATTTTTCTTCGGGGAAAAACAAATGGAGATGGCACTCAGCAAAGCTGTAGCCAATGCTTCTACATCCCTACTGAAAGCCAAGATCTCAACTGGTTTGCTTTGGGGTTAATTGGTAGATTGAATCCATGGCTTAGGAACAATAGGAAGGCTGCTTCTCATGAAATAGGCACCCTACGAAGGCCACTTGGAATTGGATCTGTACTAAGTTAAAATACTCACTTCCTATTTCTACACATACTCCAGCTAGCATTTGTTATAACAGTGAAAAGTGAGTATCAGTGGCTAATTTGCATGCTCATGATCAACTTGCCATCTGAACAGTCATCACAGAGATGCAACTGCAAGCAGCCCACAAATACTACTATTTTTGTGTGAAGTGAACTATAAGGTGTGGGGGGGAGGAAAGCCCTACAATGTATACAGTATCATCACAGCAGAAGTGCTATCGGTTCAGATGGATGGCTTCATACCCTTTATAGTTCAGTACTTGTTATGTGGGGCAAGAAGAATTGCATCAGAAATAAGAGTTCTCCCTCTTTCAACTTGCCAATTCTATTGTTTGCAGATGCGTTTTTGCTTCTTATTACAGATTAGATTTATCCTTACATACCCATGCAGTTCTCCAAAGAAGTATCAGTGCCTATTCGGACATCATCAATGGCAATGTCTCCTGAATGCCCGTTGCTTATGGTGCCTTCAAATACAATCTAGGAGTGAATAAAGACAGAATAATAAATCCACAAACAGCCCTTGCATATGTCAAAGAAAGGGATTAAAGTTATCAGATTCTCTTAGTATTTAGACATTTCCAACTGACAAAAAGGTGGTAAAGCTCAAAAGAATCCTAGAAATGTGTCCATTATACTAACTCCCCAAAAGTTAAATAACTGGGTTTTTTTTTTCTTTTACTTTAAAAGTTACTTGGAGTGGAAATAAATATTGGCTGCCCACCATTCTTTTTGATCAAGCCAGAGGCTCAGCAATCTTCAGATTCTCCTAATCCATTCTAACTCTCCTCACCTTTCTCCGGCTTTTGACACCCTACAGAAATTTAGTGCCTTATTTAAATTATTTTAATCAGTGCCTTAATTAAATTTTACATTATTTCCCTAAATAATCTTGTATTTGATTCTAAAATTACTGTAGTTTTAACAATTTCATATCATGTATTATTTATTCATTTACAGTTTAATATCTGCAAACTGCCTAGAGTCCAGTAGATCTGAATAGTGGATAAATGGCATTCAACAAATCAACAAATAAATTTCAGTTGTTGATTTGGAACTACAGAACTTGAGCATAAGCCTCAAATATATACCAGGTGGGCAAACACCAGAAAACATAATTTGTTTTCATCCTGGCTCTCCATCTTGGCTCCCTTCTCAGGTCCAGCTTGATTAATCTTCCAATAAAGTAGCACGGGATTGGGATTGTGGTGTTGGTGCAGTGATAAGACTCATGGTGGGATTTTAGCAAAGAAGCAGGAACTCCCAATTGTCAAAAAAGACCCTAAATTGCCTGGACTCTGGACCATATTCAAGTACTGTTTTCTTACTGACTGGGAATGAGTTGTTTGAACCCCATGCTAAATTTTGGTACAAGAAAATACAAGGAGAAGAAACCAAGCAAGCAAACAAAGAACTTCATTCTGTATTCCAGCTAATTTTGCAATATAGGCAAATATGCCTGTCAGGTTTAATCTCCACGCTTTATTTTAAAACTGAGACTAGCATTTTTGCCAAAATGCTTCAGTGTGGTGAAGGGAAACAGAACATTGATTAGTGAAAAGCAATAGAGTGGGCAGGGAAGGCTTCTGAATTGTTGGAAGCAGCAGCAAATACACATAGAAGTTTTTGACCTCATGTTCATAGCAAATTTAAACTGCTTTAATTATTATTTCTCTTCCTAAGAAATCCTGGGCACTGTCTGTCAAGGTTAGGCTATTAATCTCTAACAAAGAATTTAAAACATCCTACAAAGCAAAAATAGTAGGAGTTTTCAAAGGGAGGAAACTTGGTGGTTAAATAGTACAGATAGTCCTCGACTTACAATCACAACCGAGAGTAGAATTTTCATTATTACGCAAGACAGGTGTTAAGTAAGTCATGCCCAATTTTTTTTGCCACGGTGTTAAGCAGATCACTGCAATTGTTAAGTGAATCATGTAGTCACTAAGTGAATGTGGCTTCCCCTATTGACTTTGCTTGTCAGAAGCCGAATAGGAATGTTACAAATGGGGATCACGTGACCCTTTGCCACAGGTGTCATAAATATATTTTGTTTGCCAAGCATCCAAATTTTGATTACGTGCCTGTAGGGATGCTGCAATGGTTGTACATGTGAGGACCAGTCATAAATCACTTTTTTCAGTGCCATCGTGGTTGCTAAATGAATGGTTTTAAGTCAAGGACTATCTGTAAAAAACAATTTCAGTTTAAAATGAGAGCTTTCATCATAACTAGCATTCTTCCTCCAACAAGCAATTGGGGTAAATTTCAATGCTGGAATGCAAAATTGATTAAAGCATCAGGCTAGAAACCGGGAGACCACATGTGCCCTTGTTCTGTTTTAGGCATGAAGCCAGCAGGGCCAGTCCCTCTCTCTCAGCCCTAGGAAGAAGGCAAGGGCAAACTTCAAAAGGCCTTGTCAAAAAGCTTCAGGGAGTCAGAAACTTACTCTAAAGCAGTGATTCTCAACCTGGTTCGCACCACTTCGGCAGAACCGTTAGCTAATTTTTTTTGTTGCCCAGGCCCAGAATGGACTTCCGGAAGCGGCATCCACACAGAGAACCGGTTATTTACATATTTGAATCCCACCACTGTGTGGACCCCTGGGGGGCCCCTGTGATGTGGTCACAGGGGGGGTCCATTAAGGCTTGATGCAGTCTAGTGCTTTAAATCTTGATTTAAGTCTTGGTGGTTTGTTGCCATGGTCCGTGGCCACAAAAGGTATTTAACAGGGGTCTGTGATGAAGAAAAGGTTGAGAATCATTTGCTCTAAGGCATTTATCTTTCTATTTATCTGCCTGCCTGCCTGCCTGCCTACTGCACCTACCTATTCCAAGGGCATCTGCATGGTGCTGTTAAAGAAGCCAGCATATTGGCCATGACTACATGATGCATATCAAAAAGGAGTGGGGCATTGATCAAATGTTTTGACTGCCATTTTGACTTTTTTGACCCATTCCTGTGATCTATTCAGAATTTACACACAGCTGCCCTCTGTTGATTAAAGTGTCTGAAAACACGTGGTCCACTTTGGAGCTCTTGTCATAATCGCTCCCTTCCCCCTACAAGTAGATGTGCAGTTTCTTTCAGTGTTTCTCCAGTGTGGACTCCAGGCTCTTAAACAATTATCGCACCAACAATCTAGGCAAACTCTTAAATTCCTGCTGCCTCCACTATGCACTCACATTTATTTCTTACATGTTTGCTTCACAAGCTACATGTTCTTCATCCAAGAGAAAATAGAGGAGGAAAAAATAGTCGCAAAAGGCAGAGCTACCAGAGTTGAGTTGCAAACAACTCAATGGCCTCAATGGAAATACATAGAAAAAACTCTACTTTTTATTGCCTTCTGCTGGTGATCTTGATTTTTGCAGTCCACATCTAGCAAAAGAGAATCTTTTAAGGATGTAAATGACAATAAAATAAACCCAAAGCTAAGCTATATATAAAATAGGCAAAATCCAAGTAGCAAATACACTGTTATTCAGTCACTATAGCAACATGGGAAGCAAAATGAAAGAGGGAAAGCTCTTATGAACAATGTTTTCTTTTTCCCCCTTTTTTTAACGATGAACAAACATGGTCTCTTGAAATCTGGGAGATGAATGTGTAGCGATGCTTAATCTCAATTCACACTTTAACATGCTCACCTGATATTCTGTATCATAACTAGGTAGAAGAATCCGGCCTTCCCTCCACTCCTCTCCTTGGTCTTCCCTGATGCTCCACAGTGGTTTGTTCTCATGCGTTGCCTCCCGCCGTACCTGCAGCATAGTCCCACTCCCTCCAGAGAGCTGGTACCAAAACATCAGGCACACAGCACTCCTGGGCAAGAAGACAGTGGGACTGATCAGCCGAGCATGTTGTCCTTCTCGTCTTGCACTGCTTTGCAACCTCAAATAACTCTTGCCATCTGCTGAAGAAGATTAATCCTAATTAGAATTTGCAATAGATACGGCAATCTATGGTTATTAGCTCTAGCTAATGAGAAATTCAACCATGAATAGCAAGAAAGTACATGGTTCATAATTTCAGCATGATGTAGAAAAAGAGGTCACTCATTTCCTGTCCTGCTCCACATTGCTATAACATGAGGAGAAAACTTAACACTTAAATGTCAGATGAAGGAAGTATGCATTTTAAGTAAAGCATCGGGGATTCTCCAAAAATCACTAGGGCTCAGACTACTAGAAGAAGCTGCTTCCACAGGAACCTGCTTACTCATTAAGATCTCCTAGAAAAACGTATTTTTGCATCCTACTATTTAATTTATTCATTTCTAAGTGATAGCGCCAATTTGGGATTTTCTTCATTTGGGAGTTCTGTTTGGCTCTTAGCTTTTTTGCAGATCTTTAAGACCATCTCGTTTCAAAAGACATCATTTGTAAAAAAGAGAATAGTGTTAATTTTGAAAGATCTACAATCCCTTCCCCACTCCTCCACCCCACCCTACCCCATATTTCAGTCTATATTAAACTGTCTGATATCATTTAATCTTGGCAGTGCAAAAATAGTTGTAACAATACAAAATGTTTATTTATGTGTGTCCCTGAAAAGTTTAGTTTTTCTTCTATGTCATTTACATACTTTTGCATTTGCTTTCGTTTAACTCTAACCCTAACATAATCTTGTATTTCAGTATTCTCCCAATGCAACATTGAAAGTTTACTACTAAAAGGTGGTCGATCAATTAATGAAAGTATTACACATAAAAGAAGTAACAAACAATAATTCCTCTAAAACTACCAATACATATGCTGGACTAATGCTATGGAAAGCATCTTAACTGACTTCTTGCTTGGGAAAAAGGCCGCTACAAAGCCTGCTGGATTATTCATCCCAGTCCTGCAAAGTTATTTACATTTTTGCTGAATCACAAGCATATTTTCATGGGATTTACACATTGGGAAAACTTCATTGGGTAAATATTTGTTTCTCATATGCAAATCTTTAAAATATATGCTATCAATCTTCTACAGAGAAAAGTTTGAACACGTGTGTAGGCCTATGACAGTTAATATATTTGTAGAATATTGATAATGGAGTATACGCTGAAGATTGAATCCCATACATATTTTCTTAGGAAAATGCCCCAATGTGTACAATTGGTTGCACTATTTAGAATATACTTATAAGAGAGAAAATATCTGAGAAACAATAGCCCTGTATTTGAATATTAAACAAAAGAAAATAATATGGAGCTGTGCAGCCCTTCAGATATGAAACCGAAAAAGTACCTCAGAGCATGTGGGTACATGATTGTAACTCTTCTTTCTGCAAGTCCTTCAGACAAATCTGTTGCGCATCCCTACTAAACTATACACAGATCATTGTTAGGAAGACTAATCTTAAGAAGAGAGGCATCCACCAGATGGATAGAAAGATAGGACATTGCCTTGACTGAGACAGAGAAGTAAGATGGCCATCTATTTCACCAACAGCCACAGGCACAAAAACCTCCTGATCAAGACACTTGAGAAGCTTAAGATAAATGATTGACATAATTAGGACAAGTGAAAGTGCTATAATTGGCAAGGAAAATTGACTCTATAATCATGACATTATCAGTGTTTGTGCATGAGCATGCACATGTTCATATTATTCTCTCTTTTATTTGCTACTCTGTTTATAAGGTAGACACTCATGGACACCTGCTTGCCATTCACTAAGCTGACATTATAACCAGGGGAAAGAGGTTCACCCCCCTCCACTATAATAAGCAATAAATACTTCACAATCTGGACTAGCAGACAATTTAACTGAGGGTTCTGCTCCTGCTTCCTCCTCTTCTTTATATCTGCAAAGATTAATCCTCAACTTCAAATAGCAGAGCAGAAACATGCCCTAGCAAAAAAAAAATTCTTCCAAGCCCACGTGACATTGCTTTCATCTTGATCCTATACCTTGACTGTTATAAGCTTAAGATGCCCTTAGCTATATCAGTATTAAAAATAAAAAATAAAAAAGTATGTTCCCCTTATTCTGTTTCCAAGGTTAGTATACTATTGGGCTTTGCTACCCATTATTTTGAAAATAAGTAAGGAAATACAGTGACCTGAAACAGAGACAATAGAGGCAGGTTAAGAATCAGCAGTGAGGTCTACAAATATGGACTGCACCACCAACTCAGTAATGGGGAAGGACCCTCCAATAGCATTGTGGAAATTAGGAATGCCTGTGTTATCTGTGAGGCTACCATTGTTTTTTTACAAAAACTCTACCATCTCCTCAATAGGCAGAAATTAGAGTAATGGAGAGTAATTAGCTTATTTATGTTTGGTTGCCCTGGGGCAAATCCTCAACCTTCTTAGCCCATGTTAATAAAAGTGGGCTGCTTTGGGATTTTAGTTTTAAAATAATGGTTAGAATGCAAAGGGAAAAAAAAAAGAAATCTGGGTTGGTTTGCTGATGTTTTAGAGTGAGAGTAAGCTTTCAGATTACCCAGTACAAACAGCCTGGTAATAATGCAAATCCTAAAACAAAATTAATGGAAGAGAGTAGCTTCTAGCTGTTTGCCCTGTACGGGCAGGAGAAAGAGAATATTGTTTTCACTATAAATAGAACTCACATTTGATACACAGTACTCACTGGAACTATTTCATAATGGCTTTAAAGCTTTTCTACAATAAACCTACTTATCTGACCTTTTGTGTTTTTGGACAGGCAGTCTTGAACTTTTGACCTTGCTGTTGAAGGAAGCCTGCCAGTTACTCTATTTTGTATGAATGCTGTATCCTCCTGTGCCATGCTAATGTTTATCTCAGGATGTATTTAACAAACCAAAAAGCTATTTGTGTGAATTTTGTTGCTACTTTATAGGAAGAGTACTGACTTATGTGTTTTATTTATTTATGTAATCAATGTATATCATCACCCATTCACCACACAATTCAGTACAATGTACATAATTATACATTTAACTATAATAATTTAATTAAAACAAATAATAAAAGAAGGCATAAAAACATAGACAAAGCCAGAAAATACTATATAACACCTGAAGTGCCAAGAAAAAACGATCCAATGGTCATTCCATGCCCAAGCCCAATGCTGAAGAAAAAAAACAGGCTTTAATGCCTTCCCAAAAAACAGACAGGGTCAGAGTCGGCTGGATTTCAGGCTGTTACAAAGGTAGGAGCAGCAGTAGAGAAATCCTATCTCCTAACTCCTTCTGCCAGAGGGCAATGCCCAAGCAGTGAGACCTGGAGCATGGCAAACCTGTCAGAACATGCAGGATGCATGGAAATAATCAAAATAGATAGTCCTACAAGTAGCCTAGCCTTGTGTGCTTTACCGATAATCTGCTAGTAGATTTAATTAAATGTTGGAATTATTAGCAGAGTAGTAGTAGCAGTTACATGTTTCTTTTGTTTTGCTGTGGTAATATTGCTGAATGCTACTCATGCAACGCCAGCTCCCATTTTGCAGCTTACAAAATGTATACTTTTCAAAACATTTAAAGAAATCTATCACAGCAGCAGCAGCAGCAGTTAGTGTACCTGGGAGATGTTAACTATCAGCTAATTGAAAAAAAAACTGATGAGTTGATTGTCCTATATCAGGGGTGTCAAACTTGCAACATCACATGACGTGTGGTGACGTATCACGACTTTTTTGCCATTGCCGACAATGAAGTGGGCGCGGTTTCGCTATGATGCATCTGGCCCGTGGGCTGGCAGTTTGACACCCCTGTCTTATATGCTTGATGCAGCATTTCTGAGTGAGAGCAGAATTCTCTGTTCTATTGGCTACTCAAATTATTCTCTTTTTTAAAAATAGTTTTTATTTTTCATTTTTCCAATGTACAAAACAATAAACATTTTCCTTTTTTTCTTTTTTTAAAAGTACTGTGTCATGTATCTCTTACAGTTATTTACATTTATTGCTATACATTTTTATTTCTCTGTTCTAACCAATTATACCACTTATCCCATACTTCATAAAATTCTGTTTCTTCCTTGCCTTTCATTTCTAGCGTATACATCTCGGCACATTCTAATATCTTATGGATAATCATATCATTAGCTGGTATATTTTCAAGTTTCCAGCATTGCGCATAGACAATACGTGTGCTGTTACTATGTGTACAATAATATATTGGAGTTGCTTCTTTATCTTTTGATTAATTATTCCTAATAAAAATAATTCAGCTTTAAATTCAATTTGTTCTCCTGTTATCTCCTGTAGCCATCTTCTTATCTGTTCCCAGTATTTCCTTGCTTTAGGACATTGCCACCACATGTGATAAAATGTTCCATCCTTATATTTACACTTCCAACAGTCCGGTTTCATATTTGTATACATCTTGGCCAATCTCGCCGGTGTTAGATGCCACCTATAAAGCATTTTGTACTGATTTTCTTTATATGCCATTGATAATGTTAATTTGCAGTTTTTGTTCCATACTTTTCCCCATTCTTCTAAATTTATATTTTGGCCTACATTCCGTGCCCATGCTATCATCGAACCTTTCACTATTTCTTCTTCCATTTCTACCTCTAATAAATATTTATATGCTTTTGTTAAAAAAAATTCTTCCTTGCCTATCAATATTCTATCCAATTGTTGTGGTACCCCTTGAATTCCATATTCTTCCATATCTTTTCTATATCTCGACTGTGTCTGTAAATATGGCCACCAGTCTATAATTATTCCCTGTTCTTTTCGTTTTTCCTTTGATTTAAGATTCCCCTGGCTATCTAATAATTATTTGTATCTTATCATCTTTTTTTATCCAATGTATTTGGGTAAATGGTTGCCTCCATTGGCGAGACCCAATTTGGTAATTTCATATAATGTTTCCTTTTGACCTTTTCCCATGTCCATATCAACACTTCTCTTATTTGATGTCGGTAAAAGTATGCATATGTCTTGTTACGTTTATCCCATAGGAAGGCATGCCAACCGGCCTGT